GCATGTTAGGGTGCGTGTTTTCATGTTGGACAGACCGACAGGGGACTTGGCCGCCAGGCCGCCTAGGGTGCTCCCTGAAACCGCTACTACAAAAAACCTGTAGGCAGCAGCAGGATGGCTCCCGCTATCGCACGTCCTACGGTTGATTCATCCACGTCATCTCCTTCATTCGCCGCCTACCGCCACGCCACGCTGGATCTGCTCAACTCCGTCATCCACCCTCCCGCGTCCAACAACCACACCGAGGAGTCAACCGACGGTCGCCTCGACAGCGCCTTCCCGTCGTCAGTCCCGGCCTCTTGGCAGCTGCATGCCCTGCACTCATTCTGCCAGCTTCATGCCCGGCAGGATCAGCATCTCACTGACAAGGCTCGGCAAGGCGTGCGGCGGATCATCATGAGACTGGTGTCGTCTTCGTGTCTTGATGATGTATGTGGAAGCGGCGAGAGCGATGGAGATGAGTTGGCGACGGCAGTGATGGCCGTCGGCGCCTTCATCGAGCAGCTGTCGATCCCTGACGACGATTGGCGGGCGCGTGGCACGCTCGGCGAACGCTATTATGCTCGTGTGGCGAAGGCGATCACTCACGTATGGGAAGCGGCTGTCGGGAAGGAGCCGTGTGCTGCACTTGTCGCTCTTACACAGCGGTTTGTCATCAGAGGCCATGCTGATATATTGGCTGACGCGATGGTGACCCGGCAGTCCGCCCCTCTCATCACAGCTGCGTGCCTATCCGTCGACTCACAGGCGGCCCAGCGGCTGCTCCTGGCCTTCATGTCGGCTCTTTCCCGCTTTATGGGTCTGGTTGCCGTGCCGTCGTCGGAGCAGACGTCGCGAGAGGGGCCTGAGGGCATCAGGGAGGTGGAGAAGATGGAGTGGTCTGTCGGCCATGCTGTCGGTGTCGCCATCGACGGAGAGAAGGAGCCCTTCCTGCGGGAGAGCATCACGGCGATTGTCGATAGTGTGCTGTTCGCCAGCCCCGCATGGGCTCACTTCACCCTCTCATCCGCCATCGGCTGCAGCAGTGCTCTCGCCTCCACCCTGTCGCTCCCCTTGCTGCTGCTGCTGATCGACACCATCTGCACACACACTCAGGCAGCACAAGACAGCAGCGTGGTGGAGACGGTCATCCGCCAGCTCGTGGGGTCATGGCGTGGCATCAAGGAGAGCGAGAGAGGCAGCGAGTCGTGTGTGCGGCTGACGGTCATGCTTGGGCGGTGTCTTTATTGGTGCGCTGAGAGGGTTTCCATGGAGAGAACGGCGGCGGAGGGGCTCATCAAGGGGCAGCCGGATGGCGCACAGGTATCGCCCTCTGCGAGTGCTGAGGCTGTCGCTGCCCTCATGGACGCAGATGTGAGCCACACATGCAGACATAAATGCAGGCAGGCTTCACGTGATTTTTGTCGTTGCTGCAGGTGCGTGGCATGATCATGGACGGCGTGAGGGCACGGTTGTCATGCAGCGTGACGCCGCAAAGGTCGACAGATACACATACACCAACTGGGGCATGTGTATCTGATCTGTGTCCGATGTGTGCAGGCTGCAGGGTATGGCGGTGGGCGACACATTCATGCGCTGCGCCCCCGTGTCGCCATCGGCTGACCAACAGCCCCCTGTGCTGTTCGAGGAGCTCGACTACAACTCAGGCATCGGCCTCATACTCAACCTGGCCAACCTCCCACTCCCGCACCCAGCAACCAGCGGCCGGCACGTCACGCCCGCCCCTGAACCGCCATCCATGCCGTCGACGCAAGAGAGCGAATGCGTCAATGGGAAGCGAGACGAGAAAGGTCCAACGGCAAATGGTGTGGCGATCGCTGCTGCTGCTGCTGATGGTGATGAGGAGCAGGACGAGGATGATGCATACCTAGCGTCACTCCCAGCACTGAAGCCCATCAACAGTGGGCGGTCGTCTGAGCTATTGGCCCTCGAGGGGACGGATGGCGCGGCAGCCAGAGAGAAGCACCTGAAGATCGTGCAAGACGACATGGACGAGTAGGCGAACAGACCAGGCCTAATACGGCGATAATCTCCCTCCGTGTGTGCGTGTGTCGCTCTTCAGCGCGGCGCTTCTCTCCGCTTTGTCGGCCCTCTCGCCCATCCGGCCCCCTCTGTATCTGCGCGAGTGCGTGGACATCCTGACGGACATCCACCGGCCGATGAAGGGCACCGGCCCGCATTCATGGGCTGGCGGCTATCGGGGCAAGGTGCAGGTGCGCGACGACAGAGACATGACGGCTGCCGAGAAGGGCCAGCGGCTGGTGGCGGCCCTAAAGGCCATCCCCACGCTGCTGAGGGAGGGGGATGGGGCCGTCGAGGGCGGGGAGGTGGCGACCGTCGGCAAGGCGCTCGTGGACCGGCTGCTGTTTGTGCCGGACTACCACGGCATGGATGAGAGGGTCGTCGATGCTCTCAGAATGGAGGCACTTATCTCGCTGTTACACAAGGGATTCAATGCGGAGATTCTCAAGTAAGCGATGGGATGGTCGCCACAAGACACTGGGGAGGGCGTGATACCTGCGCGTGTCTGTGTGTATGCCCGGTCGTCAGTCGCGTCACATCGAGCCTTGGCAAGGATTCCACCACACTGTGTGAGAAGATATTCGTCCTGGCCGCCCTCCAACAAGCAGCCAAGTGAACACAGCAAGAGAAAACACAACGTCAAGACAAAGAGCATACAGCTTCTTTCCTCCACCAATGTCCTCCATCCAGACGCCTCAGTGCCCACACCGATGTCACATGCACCCCAGCAAAGCAGCAGGAGCCCCCCAAGCCGCCCCCTCCTCGCCCTAAGACCCGCTACTTCACACGTCGATCGGCCCCCTCCCAGCCGGCCACCCGCAATCGCTTCGCCGATGAGCAGTGCGGCCCGGTGATGTTCCGTCGGGTGGTGTGTGAGATGGAGGGGCTGCGCGGCGACGAGCGGCGGGGGTGGGCTGGGGAGGGCCAGCTGATGGGAGCCTATGTGCGGACGCTGGGGCTGTTCGTCGAGTGTGCGGGTGAGGGGTGCAGCAGGATGAGAGAGATGTGGGAGGGCACTGCCCAGGTGGTGGAGACGCTCAGGCAACACAAAGACCCATACGTCAGGTGAGGAAGATCTGCACTCGCACGTGTGCCTTTGTGCGTGGGACTGATATTCTCACTACGTGTCCTTCTCCCTCTCTCTGTGTGGGTGTGTGCAGGTATGCGTGTCTGATGGCGAGTGCTTTGCTGCTGGTGGCCATCCAGCACTCACAATGGGCAGACAACACCCTTCAGCCATACGTCACCAAGTAAGCAGACACCAACCACCCGCACACGCATCCACATGCGCATACCTAACTCCTCTCCATTTGCCAGGTTGGTGTGCCATCTGGAGCATGCGTGTGACGACGACCCCGACAGGGAGTGTCGCGAGCTGGCCAGGGCACTCCTGCCTGACAGACTGCGGCACTCGGGGGGCGGCGAGCTGGACTGATAAGATGAGATGAGATGAGTGTTGATTAGATGATAGTCCGGCACTCGCTGCTGACCTCCTCCTTTCCTTCTTTCACCTTTATCCCCTTTATCCGCCTCGGCCGCCGCGCAGAGGCCGCTGCATACACATGAAGTGTCTCCGTGCTAAATCAAACACACGCACACACGAACTCATCCATCCATCCATCAATCCATGCATCCAGCCATCCATCCATGGGCGCGGCATCTTCGTGTAGGCAGGATGAATCGGTTACAGGGGGAGCTGACACACTCTCACACACACACAGTGAAAAAAACGGTTGTCAGTATCCCGAGCCGCCGTGATCAAGTAGTGACTGCACTGCACTGCGCTGACACACACACAAGATATCTACCCATAGGTAGCCACACATGTCCTGTGGTGCTGTGCTGTGGCAGGCGGCCGTCTGCCATTTGCCGTGACGTTGACTCCTGTGCTGTGCGGACTGTGAGTATCTCTGTGTGTGTGTGTGTGTGTGTGTGAAAAGTGCCTCGGTTCCTACTGGCCAGGCTTGTAAGGCGGGAGGGCTTGGTCCCGTAGGCTGACATATTTCCTTTTGTGTATGGGCTGGGAGAGCGATGTATCAACCAGAATGTCTGACGCATCGGCCTGTATGCCATCTGGTGGCTGAATTGAGTGGCTTAGCATCACTTCATCGTGTCTCACAGCCCCATTGAAGACAACACACACACAGCAGAGTGTCAAGGATGTATACAGGTACACGCATCAGATGCACACATGCAAACGCACAAATGCGATCGTGAGCCTCTCTCTCCAGCCACGCTTTGCAGGCTTGCAGCCAGGACAGAGGCATGAGAGTGTTCCAGCAGCACAGCTGCCTGCCTGCGGTCCATTCCTTATCTCTCTTCTTGCCTTGTGTGTCGTGTCCGTCCATGCCATCTGTCCATCCGTCCACGACCATCTTTCCCCACAACGGCTGTGGATGGATGGCACTCCACAGGCAAGACAGGAGGAGGCTGCATGACATTGTGATGACTGTACATGGGCAGACGCCTCCACTTGTGTGTGTGAACCCCAAAACTGCCCACCCCGCAGGCATGCCACAAGTGTACACACGAACGTTCACGTGCGATGCATCCCTCCCTCCCTCCCTCCCCTCTGCCCGTCCCACTCCCCCCTCTCTCATTATTTACACAGCGATGAGACAGTGAGTCCGTTAGTGGCGGCCGCTGGCATCCGCCCATCCCAGCTGTCCCCACTGGAACACGCAGTCGGTGTTGCCCAGGTGGGTGTTGAACCCTTTGACCACGCCCTGCAGCCCGTGTGCCGCCACCTCGTGCAGCCGCGCCTTGTGCACCACCTCACGCACCCCCAGCCGACGCACCCTCGACCCGGCCCTCATGGCGAAGCACTGCAGGGGCACCCGCACCATCTCGCCCTCCACACTCTCCTTGTGGCGCACCACCTCCATGTTGCTGCTGGCCTTGTACACAGCCGACTCGACGAAATGTTGCGCAGCCGCACACACACGGCGGGCCAGGTCGCTGCCCCGCACACCGATGGCCTCACTGATGCCCGCCTTGGCGGCATCCATGTCGAACAGGTAAGATGCGATGCACCAGCCGAAGATGGGCGCCTCGTTCGGGCCGACGGCCAGCCGGGGCGTGATGACAGCGGCGAGGGAGCGCTGGGGGGTCAGGGCGGCGTTGATGGCTCCCATGACGGCCGTGGGCAGCGCATTCAGCACCTTGACGTACTGATCCAACGCCACACGACGCGCCGCGGTGGGCATCACACCGATCGCTGCCCCCGACCGCAGCAAGGTGCGGACCGCCCCCTTCATGCCCTCTATCGCCTTGTCACGGTTCTCGTACACCAAGATGGGCCTATGTGGATCGGCAAGCCGGGCGACGCTCCCGGCAGCACAGACAAGAGGGGTCTGCGGCGGCAGCACTATGCCGTTGTCCGTGGCGTTGATGTCGGCGGGTGTGAGGTTGTCGCACAGGTACTCGACCACATGGTGTGCTGAGAACACACAAGCGGTGTGCAGTGCCGTCCTCCCAGCATGCCCCACGTGGGTCAGGGTCGCCCCGTTGGCCGTCACCAGGTCCAGGTAGGCCTCGATGAAGCCCCGGGAGTAGACATGACCCGCCCCGGCTGCCGAGTGCACGACATCGTTGCCCGTCACATCGGTCTCCGTCGCCAAGTCGGGGTCTTGCTCCAGGAGGTAGCCGAAGATGTCGATCAGGGCATCCTCGTACTGCTCGGTCGCCACCCGGATCTCGTACGGCACATGCAGCAGCCCCATGCCGTACACCTCCGCCCCATGTGTGCCCACGAGGGTCCTCACTCCCATCGCGTTGCCCGCCCGCACCGCCACCTCCACGGGGCGCTTGCTCCCCCCCACCAGCCCATCGACATCTGCGCCCTCGTCGACCAGCGCGTTGATGATGCCCGCCTGGATCTGACGGCTTGGCCACAATGGGAGCACCAGCCGACCCGGGGGCATGAAGGAAGGCCATAGCTGGAGCGCCGACTCCAGCGCAGTGGGGGAGCTGAAGTCGTCGATGGCCAACGCGAGCAGACACACGAGCGCCACCCCCGATACGGAAGACAGCTCGATGGTCACGGTGGGATCAGCGACGCGGCGAACAAGGCGCCGCACACCGTCAGGAGTAATGCTGCGATTCATGATTCTGCCGACGAGCCGACGGGTGAGCTTCTTGACCTCCTCATTGGAGCCGGGACGGAAGTGAATCTGCATCTTGATGGCCTCGATCACTGCCGCCTGCTGCTGCTGCTGCTGCTGCTGCTGATCGGCTGCGGTTGACGAACGGACGGCCATCCTTATGATCTGCAGCAAGTACCACACCAAAGGCAACGCACACGTGCATGAAGGGCTTCCCATCTTCTCGCTTTCCATCATCACATCAGTGCCATGCATCCGTACCTGAATTACGTTACTCAACGGATATCCGCGATGCTCAACAGGTAGGTGAGAGAGAAGGCGGTAGTGCGTCTTGTCTGCACACCATCATGCAGACAGAAAGACTCCGTCATTCCACAGGTGCTCGTGAGGCCATTCTTGATGATTCCTTCAGGCAGACGTGGACGTAGTCGCTTCAGGCACACTCGCAGAAACAAGCGATGAATAAGAGCACCCAATATGACCGCAGCCTGCATGATGACAGAGTCACACAAGACAAGTTGACACAAGACAGTTGAGGCATCCATCCATCTATCATCTGTCGACAAATACGTGCCACTGGCACCAGCGCCTGGCCTTACCAATGTGCGGCAAACTCAGCCCTTCCTTCTCGCGACGAAGGGGTAGCTCGCCTAGGGTGCTCCCTGAAACCGCTGCAAAAGCGATCCTTTGCGTTTTGACAACTTCGAAGCCATCCCTCCCCTCCCATTCGTTTTGGCTCTCTCTCCCATCTATCCACTCCTGCCTCAGCCGACTCTTGCCATCTGTCAATCCCGCCTGCTCGATTGTCTGTTATCATCCATGGCTCTCTTCTCGCGCCTGACGCTCTTGGCCCTGGCCGCTCTCCTGGTGGCGGTTTGGACGCCCTCAGCCACCATGGCCCAGCCACCCTCCGCCACGACTGCTGCTCCCACTGTTGTTGCTCTTGATGAATCTGACAATGCCCTGGCGACTGTGGATGAGCTGCTCGACGACGAGGAGGACGCCCTGGTCGATGCCGACGAGGCGGATCTGGCCGATGATGAGGATGATGACGATGACGAGGATGAGGCGGAGGACGAGCCTCTGAAGTCGGGCAACCTGCGTGCCCTTCAGCGACGTCAGCACCCACATGCAATACTCCCACCGTTGTTCTGACCAGACAGACACTGAGCATCATCCCTATCCCTCGGTTCTGTGTTTTTGTCGTGTGCAGGCCGTCGTCGTGGGGGTCGTCGTGGTCATTCGGGCCATCATCACCACCACGGCCATCGTCATAGGGGCCGCTGGGGTCGTGGTCGCTGGGGTCGTGGTCGCTGGGGTGGTGGTCGCTGGGGCCGTGGTCGCTGGGGTCGTGGTCGCTGGCGCCGTGGGCACCGCCACCACCACCACCATCACCACCACCATGACTGATGTAAGTGAGACTGAAGGACACCGGGCGTCCATGTCTGTGTGTTGGTTTCTTTCAGGCCACCGGTTCGATTGAGCCACTCGTCTGCGTGTGGTGTGTGCGTCACTGTTCTTTCATTAAGATTGCAGAGAGAGACATACATGTGTGTTTATTGTGTGTATGTGTGTCTAGAGCCTTCCTTGTTGTGTGTGTGATGCGTCTGCACTGCATAGTCTGAGGGCGTCTGGTGCGGTGTGTGTCCTGCCCTTTGTCAGCCTGTCAGTGCATTGTGTTTTGTTTTTGACTTCACCATGCAGAAAGACACGCGGGTTGGGGGGACACCGGTTCCATATCATATCGGGTACGCTTTGCTTGTGTGCTGTCTGGGCTGAGAGAGAGTGCATTGCGAATTAATTGTGCTTTTGTTTTTGACTTCACCATGTAGATGGATACGCGCGCGGGGGAGGGGCAAGGGAGAAGGGCCAGCCGGGTTTATGTCATATCGGGTGTGGCGTGCTTGTGTGCTTGTGGTGTCAGTGCATTGTGAACTGTGTTCTTGTTTTTGACTTCACCATGTACATGCCACACGGGGAAGAAAACAATAACCGGAGGGGAACAGGGTTCATATCATGGGTGTGGTGTGCTTGTGTGCTGTCTGGACTGAGAGAGGAGTGGATGTTGCGTGGTGTGGGTGTGGGTGTGTGTGGATGTGTGTGTGTGTGGATGTGGCAGGCATGACACCCACACACCAGTCGTATACGGTCATTTGTCACTCACTTCAATAAGTAGGAGCCCTGTCTGTTGTGCAGTACACCTTTTGTCGCATATTTGTAGTGCATTTCTCTTTGCTGTGGGAGGGATCAAGTGGCACCGACACATTGGGTGGACACAAACGAACGAACGAACAAATGTATCACCATGAATCGTCACGACACATGCCGCATCGGGTCATTCGTGGTCTCTTTACACGATGAAATGGTTCAACTGTCGACCGACACACACCAAGGCAGCAGCGGTAGCCTGTCTGCATCGCATCGTACCTGGTCGACCGTGAGCTACTGACGGCCCTCAACCGCTGTCTCGTCAGCCAGTCATCCATCCGTCAGCCTACCTGCTGTATTGGTACACATAGCGAACACATACAGCACCAGCTACAAAGGTGGCCGATGACACTTAAGCGCTCAGTTTGTCGTTGTTGTGAAGCATATGTTGGAACAACTTGGATTCAAAGGATAGTTCGATCTCGGCCATGCACGCACGCACGCACCCCTGGCTCTTCTTTCGGCAAACAACTGCTGCAGAAGCCTGTGTCTCACTCACATGTGCCGTGCGCGTCTCTCGTGGGCCAGCCTGTTGAGGGCCTTCAACGCCGCTCGCTTGGCCTGCATGTCGCCCAGACACGACTGCTGCACGACCTTCTGATCCTCATACTCTTCTGCCTTCAAGCGCTTCCTGCACAGCAGGACGGGAAGACAGGAAGAGAGGAAGACCTATCGCCGTGGATACTCCTTGTCTGCGGTTTTGTACCTTTCCACTCGCAGCGCCGCCAGGTGTTCTTTCTTCTGCGCGTCCGTCAAAGACACATTCATGGGATCTGATGAGGGCCATGCAACATGAGAGCGATCGATATATATGAGAGAGACACGGTTGGCTGTGTGTCTCACGGCAGGTACCGTATGCCCCCATGGCGTTGAATGTGGAGGTGTAGGAAGAGCTGAAGCGCAGGGAGGGGTCGATGGTCAGCCCACACGGCTGCGATGGCTGCACCAACGGCTTGGTGTGATCGTCATAGCGTGTCCTGCACACACAGAGGTGGCAGTGTGTCTGTCTCTCTGTGGACACATGCATCCATACCGATCGAATCTCCCAGGCGGTTTTTTCATGGCGACCTGTTCCTTTGTCTCCTCGTACTCGCCCTTAATGCGGCAGCAGATCAACTGGAGGGCGCTGACGGATGGCTGATCGACGGCCTGTGCCTCAGCCGCCTCTGTATCCTTCGGATGCGTAGTGAGCCTGGCAGCCATGACGGCCTCATCTTGCCTCTGTGGGACAACCCTTGCCGTTTTCCGCATCTTGTCGCCCCATGAGCCTTCGACGACCTGGAAGTTTCTCGTGAACTCGCCTATGTCGACGGAGCCATTGTGGCTCTCATCAAGGGCGTGCATCAAGTCACGGAGGTCCTCTGGGGCAGCTGCAATCTGATAAGGAGACAGTCTCGGCACGGACTCGAATACGTTGTCTGGCGGAATTGGTGTGTGAGTATTGGTTACTTTGTATTGCTGCGCTGCCCTTGTGAGATCTTCCAAGTCGACGTAGCCGTCCCCATCCATGTTTAATCGACGGAACATCTTAGACGGCTTGGCAGCATCTGAGTGCACGATGCACATGAGAGACACACCTGTGTGTGCACATTCTGTCCGCATGTGCTCACCGCTGGCCCGCTTTTTCTCTGCAACGGCGTCTTGGAGTGCGGCCATGAGCCTCTGCATCCGGGGGTGGAGATACGTGGGCGCAGGGGAGGCTCCCGCATCACGCTGGGACACCTCTCCACCGACAGGCTGCAAAGGCGAGGAATGGTGTACACAGGTGTGTATCTCACTGCTGACGGTGCGTTTGTTCGTACCATTGCGTGGGGTCTGAGTTGCCGCAGCGACGGCTCGAGTGCATCTTGGTACTGGTGGTCCTCCCGATATCCGCCTGCAGTGCGGTGGTACAAATTGTTGACCAAGTCGCGGACATCGATCTCGTCACTTGAAACAAACAACATGATTCACCTCCACGTCAGTTGCTTCTGTTGTTGTGTCTTGCTTACTGCTTGTTAGCCTTCTGCGTGACGAGGAAGGCCTGAATGTCCGATGGCGCCAGGTAGGTGTCCACGGGCTTTACGCCACCGCCTGTACACGCAGAAGAAACATCACGCGTACGTCTGTGACACCCCTGCGTACCTTTGAAGTTGACGGTGAGTGGGTGGTCGAAGCCCATGGCCCCCGAGCCCCTGTTGGCCAACAACGCCTCCTCCAGCTCAGGCCGATAAGCCATCGCCTTCTCCCTGCACACAGCATCAGACAAAGCATCGACGTCGCTCAGACATCCAGTCATGTTGTTACGTGTCTTCTCACTTGATTGTGCCTGCTTCTGCCCGGCTGGGCGAGTATCCCGGCGACACGATCCGCGCCAGTGCACCCTCTTTCGGTGCTAGTGTTGCGCCCACAGGCAGAGGCACCAGCCTCTTCCTTTGACTCTCCGTCAGACCTTCTGCAGAATCGATTCTTATGACATTCCCAAACTCGCTCTCTGCTGGGGGGCGAAGCTCCTCTGCTGGCGGTCGTGTCGTCTCGGCTTGTGCAGTGCCAGCGCCATCCGGCAGCATGTCTTGCGTGAGCTTTCTCTTGATCTTCTTTACTTCTTGAACGATGATTTTCTCGAGGTCTGAGCGCTTGATGAGGGGTTTGTCCTGCAGGATGGACTTGAGCATGCTCTCGGGGAGTGCTTGCTGGAGAGCCCGCTTGCAGCGCCACGCTGAGAGACAGAGGGAGAGAAAAGAGAGAGAGAGGCAGAGGGTGATTGTGCTGTGCTGACTGACCTTTGAGTCTGAGCTGCTCGACGTAGTTTAGGGTCTTCATGCCGCAGTCCTGACGCAAAGGAAGACGGAAATATGACCCTGCATGAAAAAGCCAGACCCATTGCCCTGCCTGTGGTTTCCAGGATGTCTCCAGCGTCTTGGTCGTGAGCTTGCCGCCGACCAGCTTCACCTCCTGTGAACGTCCCAGACGTACAAGCAGACACATGTCACAGCAACGTCCATAGGTTGTGCATCTATGAACCCACCTTGTTCTTGGAGTCGTCTTCGAGCACGTCCAGCAGCTGCGGCGCGACGGTGGTCACTGGCAGGGTGCGATCGATCAACCGCTTTACACTCTGACCAACCGTAGGTACGTGGAGACACCCGAGCAAGAGTGAGTGAAGTCGTGTCTCTCTCTTACCAGCTCGCTTTGGATCGTCGGCGGCGTGAGAGGCCTGTGAATCAACAGGCACGACATGAATGGGTTTGCTTTCCCCTTCCTATCTGCGTTCATCAAAGCACCTGTGCATGTGTTCGTATGCGGCGATTGTCTTGAGGAATCCCCGCCAGTCCAGCGTGGCGTGCTCATCCGCACCACTGCTGACCGCTGACGGCAGTTGACCCTCTCTCGGCGACGACCCCTCCTCTCCCTCCTGTTGTTGCTGTTGAGCTTGCTCGGCCTCGTCGAGGTCAGGGTGCGTAAGGGACGCGCGGAGAGCTTTCTTCCCCTGGGCTACGGTGATGCCTGGCTCGGCCTTCTCTCGCTTCTGTAGCTGCAGCGCCTTGTGCCATAGCCAATCCACGGCCTCGCAACTCAGACCCTTCACCTGTGGGTCACGAGAGAAAAGCTGCAATTCTGATCGGTGAATGAAGCGATGCATGTAGTGCCTTTACCGCCCGCTTGAGTGCTGTGTCGAATTGCGGCAGGGTGATGTGGCCCTCGTCGTTGACGTCGACCTGCCAAAACTCGCGAGGCATCGCGCCAAGCCTGGCCAACACAGCAGACACTCACGCTCGGCCACCATGTGTCCCTACTGTCAGCTGCTGACTTAGCGGTGAGTGTGCGTATGAGGTTCCTGGCTTGGCGGTGGTTGAACGAACCCTGGGCGCCCGCCGCCCCCTTGTGTGGCTCCAGGGGCAGCTGGGTGGAGAAAATGAGATGGTTGAACTCCGAGAAGGTCGCGGCGCCTGATGATGACCGAGACACATCGATTGATGTGGACGTCGTCAGCACTGTATGACCGATTCGTCTGTACCTTTGTCGTCTCTGTCGACAGCTGCTATCAAGGTGCGGCACTGCACCCAGACACGACGTGCGATTGGTATCTCGTGGGTGTAGCATGGCTGCATACCTCAGCCAAGGAAGCCTGCACACCCATCTTGTCCACCAGACTGCACAGACACACACAAAGCTACCGCGGAAAGTGACACATGGAGCTGTGTACTTACTCCTGCAAGTCTTGTGGCAGCATGTAGCCGGGAGCACGGTCGGTGTTGGCAAACCACACCTACACACCAGATGTGTCAGGCTCCTTCCTGTGTAGGTTCGCATTTGCGTTTGCCCCCGCTCACCCCCGCCAGTTTCTGTCTCCCAGCATATCGCTCACGGAGCATCTTTCGCAACGTCTGTCAGAAACAGTGTACGCACCATTAAATCTCCTTTGGCCATAGCGAGCTCCATGTGTACCTTTGTTCTGTTGATGTCAACTTTCCTCTCCTCCTCACGGCCCTTCAGGACCGATATCTTAGAGAACTGTCGCAAAGGCACATTCAACACACCTACGGATGCCGCGCAAACGAGTCTGTACGACTCACTTCTGGCAGTGCCCTCAGTCTGATTTGCCAGTCGTCGAAGGCCTCCTCGTCCTCGCCCTCATCCTCTACATCAATGCACAAATACACAAAGACGTACACGGGGAGAGACACGTGCAGAGAGACCGCGCCGGCCTTACCTCCGGGCTCTCCCTCGATGCCGCTGGCGTAGTCGACAAAGCGGGTCAGCTCCTTCTTGCTACGATCCTCGTCTTGCTCTGTGTAGAGACACAGCGACATTTGAATGCTGCGTGACAGGTTCCTTGACGGACCAGTGGGCTCCTCTGCTTCCTCCGGCGAGGCACACGTCCGCATGAGACGGTCGTAGTGCTTGCCGCGTCTGGCCTGGGAACAAGAGGCATGCACATTTCATCGATTGGTGGACAAGTCGCTGAATCGACTGACCTGCTTGGAGCTGGCAGAGCTGTTCCATACAGGTGAGCCGGGCGTGTCTCGCCTACAAACGGAAGATGGACACAAAGGGACGGAACAATACACATGGAAAATATCGTTTCATACTCGAGTGGTTCCCGAAAGCACTCTGGGTCGCTGAAAGACGAGAGCACTCACAGACAACGAAGTTGGAGAACACGGGCTCTCGACTTTGTGTGATCCTTTCACCTACCTGTGCCAGTGCTTTGGGCTCCATTTCTCAGCTGTCAGACCCTTGCGCGTTGCAGACGCTGACTGAACGAACACACAGCCCAAAGGAAGGATACATGGTCCCGCCGACACGTGTACCGCTGTGCTTCTCACCGATTGGCTGGTGGCCGAAAACGTCGTCGACATGGTGCTGTTGAGGAGTTTGTTGCCTGGCACTTTGGCAATGGCAGAGGGCTCCGCGTGGACCGTCGGCACCACAGCACGGCCCAGCATATTAGTCATGGAAAAGTCGCTCGCACTTGCACACACAGAAGAAAAGTACACATCACCATCCTTTTGAGAGCATCCGCACTGGTACTGGCTCACCTGAGCCTGAGGCTCTTTTCAGGGTCGTATGTGGGCTGGATCTGCTGTTTGGTCTCGCGCTCTTTCTTCCTGTCCTTGAGCCACTCGGGCACGCCCTTGGCGTTGAAGGCAAATCCACGCAGAGTCGCATCGAAATCTGCCGATGAGCCACATCGCATTGCAAACACACACAATGTCATGGAATGCCGCCGTGGCTTACTTTTCCGCCTGTCGAGGTCAAATCTGAAGGTGCTGGGCTCTTCTGCACTGAAGTGAATCGGCTCCTGGGGAATCCTGACACACACACGCACGCACCACAAAAAGACGCATGCATGCAGACTGGGTGCCATGTGGGCAGCCCCTGGATGTAGCTACCACGAACCTCGAGTCAGGAGCCCTGTTCGAGGCACCTGACCTGCGGACACGGCCCTTCTTCAGCTTGCCGAGTGTCATTGGTCACAGCCGGTGAAGTTGAGGAGCACGGCGGACTTTCGTCGGTGCAAAGCGGCGCCAGGGCGACTAGAAGTGGCGGCGTGAGCTTGGATTCCCGCCCCCTTTGGAACAAAATTACGCGGGGAGCGAGTAGTGAAGGTGAAAAAGGTCGGAGTGGAATCGCGGACACAGCGATCCACCTTGCTCGCCCCCCTCAGGGGCACCTTCAGACCACGTGAAGACCTTGATGTGTGTGAGCTGACCATGGTTTGAAGTCCGTCTCCGCGTAAGAAGAGTGAGATCGTGAATGCATCAAAGTGAAACCACTGATACGGTGAAATCGATGGTCCAACCGAGTTACAGCCCGACCATGCAGCAGACAGCAAACAGAGACACACATATTGATGGACCCAGGCCAGGCAGTCTTGAAAGCACGAGACATCGAAAACAGCACCCATACCGCTCTCCCCCCGCCCTGCCCCCTGCTACTCATAGCCACACTCAACGCATAGACAGAGGACACACACATACATGAATACAGCGAGCCAGCCAGCCAGCCAGCCGGGAGAGACACATTCGCCTACGGGGAAATGTACCTACGGGGCCCGCTGCCATTATCCGTTTCCAGCTCGACGCTCGCTTCACTGCCCCTGCCTTGCCGTCAGGATTCCTCTGCCCGCAGCAGACCCGTCCCGTCAGGCTCAGTGCCATCCAGCAGGGCGGATGGTGAGGAAGCAGCAGCACTGGCAGAGGCAGATGGCTGTGAGGATGATATCGAAGCACTGCAGAGGGCCATGTTGCTGCTGGCGTCCACCTCTGCAGCAGCCCTTGCCCAACTCTCTAAGGTCTTCCTGCGCTCGACATGCCTGGTCTTGGAACTGCATATATACCAAGAAAACACTGATTTTTGCCTGGCTGGCTGGCAAGCTGACTGGATGGTTGTCGTGGCTCGTGCACCTCCTCACATCGACGCTTCCACTCATCGCGTTGGGTTTCGGCCTGCTGGTACCTATGCTTCCACTCATCCCTTTCCTTCTTGTAGTCGTCCACCTGAGCTTCGAGCATCTCGATTCGCTCGTTGAGCAGCTCGATACACTTGTCATGCTGCTGTTGCTGACAGAGGTCTACACGCGCCGAAACCGGCATGCACTTCTCTGTTTAAAGAGCGTTCGTCTCTCATCATTACTGACCGTCAAAGATGTTCTGCGTGTGGCCTTCTGGCATCAAACGGTGCGTATCGTCCGTCATGTCCTGCACGTCATCGCCTCTCTGGGCTTCGAGCTCCTTGATTCGCGTCTCGTATCGCTGTCGCAGAAGATCCACCGAGCGGCTCATATCACCCATCGCATGCTGCAGCCCATCTATTGTGGCCGACGGGGATGTTGAATCTGTTGACGGGGCTTGCACCGGGGGCGGCCTTCAGGGCGCCGCATTCCCCATCGTCCCAAGCAGGAACGACGCTTTTTAAGCTCGCAGCCCAGCCGTTAGTACCCTGTACAGATTGGGATGCATCGGCGAAGCCGCAAACAGTCCGGCGCCTTCGCGCTCGTCTTCTTTGCTTCCCTCAGTCCTTCCATCGCCCAACTGCACGACGACGGACGGCAGGCGGGCTTACTGTTTGACTATGTGGTCATCGGAGGAGGTGCGAGCGGCGTTCCGCTTGCGTACACGCTTGCTGAGAGCGGCAAGGAGGTGCTGCTGCTTGAAAGGGGAGGCAGGCGCGAGGAGAACCCGAGTGAAACCCTCACCATCGCAGGATTCGGCAGCGCACTCATCAACAAGGATCTGGCGCAAGAGATCCGCACTGTGGACAAGGCCATCACACACGTCTCCAATGTCCTCTCGGGCGGCACCGCTGTCTCAGGAGGTCTCCAGGTGCGTGTGAGCAGACGGGAGGATGCTCACTTATGCCGTGTCGGTACGCACGTGTGGCGTATGTGTTCTTTCTCAGATAGAGGAGACCCCGGAGTACTTTGAGTATTTGAGAGAGGAGTTCGGTGCCCAGTTCGACCTACAGCTGGTCACCGAGGTCAACCACTGGGCCAGGGTCGGTCTGTTCATGGCGATGTTGGTCTGCTTCCTTATCTGTGTCTGCAGTCGTACGCATGGGTTCGCGAGCAGATAGCCCAGCCCATGGGAATCCCTGAGACCTATGGACCCGCATACATAGCCTCCTTGCAAGATCTGGGATTTGACCCGTTCGTCGGTCCCTCCCCCACCTTCTCCGTCGGCTCATTTAACGTCTTCTCCCAGTTCGAAAATGACGGCAAGGAGTTCTCGCCCGACAGGAGGCGCTTCGCATCAGATGATCTGGCGCTTGGGGGCCTTGCCAATCCGCCTGGCCTGCCGAGGAGGCTGAAGATCCTAACTCGGCAAACGGCGCTGCGCGTTCAGTTCGAGAAGAATGAAGAGACGGGCAATCCGAGAGCCACATGTGTTGTGTACGCCGACTCGCCGGATGTGTTGGAGCCCATAGACTCGCGAGCGAATGCTGGGCTGTCGGCCAAGGGGGGGAAGAGAGACATAGCACAGACGGGAAGGGCCAGGGAAGATGGCGACGTAAAGCGGGCCTGCATTCGGGCAAAAGGGGAGGTCCTCATCGCCGCGGGTCCTATCTTTTCGCCGGTCCTGGGGATGAACAGCGGCATCGGACCGAAGGACGTGGTGCAGAAGGTCATGGAGGGGAGGGGCACAGAGATCGTCAAAGACATCCCTGAATTAGGTAGGCATGGGGATTGGCTATAGGCCTGTAGTCGCTTTGCTGTGTGCATGTGTGCCTGGATAGGGCAGAATCTGCATGACCGTTTCGCGTCGACCATTGGCGTATTCTTCAAAAAGCCCATCCCCGAGGGCGGTGTCCCGATCACAGTCGCCCTTGCTGGCGGAATCAAGGTCGTCGGCGATAAGTGTCCCGAGGATTTTGGGTACACACAACACAGAAAGGCAGGCGGGGTTTAAACACTGGCTGGCTCTCATTGTGCGCGCGTCGGTACCTGTGTGGTGTGTGCAGGATCACTGACACAAGTCTCGAGTGCACGTACGTCATGTCAGAGGAAGCGTCAGGAACCGACGCAGTCGGCCTCTTCCTGGCCACCAGGGCGATCTTCCCGCCCGTCCTACGTGCTCTGCCGTACGCATACAATATTGTCGGATGAAAGCACACACGCTCTCACTCATGAGCCGTTGTTTGTGCATGTCATCAGCGAAGTGGACTTCCTTGTCTCGCTGCTGACCGAGTGCCTCGACAAAGAGGACTCGATAGCTTGTGCACCCCTGCATCCCGTGTTCGACTGTGTCAGGTGGGCGGGCAGTCGAGACATCAACATGGAAAGAGAACTGGCCCTGTGTGTGCCATGTGTGTGCCATGGATGGATGGATGGATGCAGGCGGGTCGCCGCATTCATCTCGTTTCCGGTGGTCCCCAAGTCACGTGGCAACGTTACTGTGAGCGAATGGGGTAAGCGAAAACGGATGGACACGAATAGGGGGGTCTCATCTGCTTGTCTGCGACTGCGTATGTCAGGTGAGCCCATATTGACTGCCGGTTATCTGACAGACGAGGAGGGTCTGGACCTCAACAGCTCCATACTCGGCGTTGAGACTCTGTTGCGAGTAAGGATGCGATGCGATATTCACACATGAGCGAGCCTGTACACACACGTGCACGTGTCTTGTGTGTAGGTGATGGGCAGCGGTCGATTTTATTCCTTGTTCGAGAAGCCCGGTCCTTTGTCGTGCCCAACATTCATCTTCAACAAGCTGGTGGACATGCTCGTTATCGCCAGCAGAAAGCTGCCCTTCCCGGGAGACATCGACACCGACTCCCTCCCCTCTTTCACGGCCTTTCTCGAATCGCACACGAATGTCACCGACACACAAGGCCACAGTGGTCGGTCGGACAGCTTTCTCCAGGACGCCCTGCTGTGGATGGAGCTGCAGAAGAGAAAAAACGATGCGTTGAAGGAGGGCAGGGACGCTCGGAGTGAGAATGATGCTTCCGAGTCTGAGTGGCTGGGCGACCAGTCTCCGGTGGCAGAATGGCTGCGGGAACAAGTGACGCGAGCGTCAGCGCCCGCCTCAATGCCGGTCAGCAGCCGTCAGTGCACTTGTCTCTGTCCATTCACACACGTGCGCTGTGTGGTCGTGTGCAGGAGGGCATTCTGGACGATCTGGCATGCGACTTGGTTCCATCAGAGGAGTGTGAGAGGCGACGGCAGCTGCGGGCAGCGACACGCTTCGCTGCCGTCCCGCCACTCCCCACAGGTGTGTGCACCCAGACAGATGAGCGCGACATTTTTCCGCCTTGCATTGCGTTGAACACTGTGCACGGTGGATATCAGATGTCTTGGATCGTGAGAGCCTGGGGGATTTCGTTAAGACGCACAGCGTGGGCACCTGGCATTGGACCGGGTACAGCACGCATACACAGTATACACACGGTCATGCCTGTCGATGTATGTGTGCCTTCTGCAGATCGGCGGCGATGGGCACTGTGGTTGACAAGGAGTTTCGCGTGATGGGTTTGGAGAATCTGGCAATCTGCGACGGATCAGTGTTCCCCCAGGTGGGTAGGCAAGAGAAATGGGTGAAACTTGACTCATAATGGTGTGTGCAGATGACGCGGCTTAATGTGCAGGCGACCTACGTTATGGTCGGGCGGTATTGTGGGCTGCTCAGGAAACAGCAGGGCAGATAGCCGACGACCACAGATGAGTGAGACAGACAGACAGACAGGCCAAGAGACAGACAAGTGCGTCAGTAGGATGTGATGATGTGCATACATGCATACATCCATACGTACATAGCTGGCTATTCGGCTCTCTCTGGTGTGTGGATGGTCTGTCCTTCTTTCCTGGGCTGTGTGCTGCCTTGTCTCACTTGCCTGATTGGCGCGCATCGGTCTGCCTTAATGTCAATGCATGCGTCATGCAGCACATGTGAATGACTCTTATCGTGCATTTGGTTTGGTTTGGTTTGGGATATACAATCATCTCCCGCACACCACCACCTTATTAATTCATTCAATCTCTCTGCACATACATACATACATGGATTCGAGGCACCGTTTCACATCAATCATCAGGCATCAAATACAGAATGCAGGCAAGAATGCGGACATCACAAGTAAAGAACATTTGCATGACTTACGTGGGTTCGGCTAATCATTTATTGCCACACAGGGGCGATCATTAATTCCTCGGAGGCAGACATTAGGGTTTGGGGCTCAGGGTAACTTACCCTACACCCAAGAACCCTTGTCACGGTCATCATCTGCCCAATGATTCTCCCGCCGCGATGCTGCGTTTCTTCCTTCTCTCCCTTATCTGTAAGAGGCTCGCCGCCCAACAAGCTGCTGCCGACGCCGACACGCTCACCCCCATGGACTTTGACACGCCCCTCACTCTGTCGATGGGCGGGTACGGGGAAAACTTCATCATGGCGACGTCTGACAAGGACAAAGACAACGCGAAGAAGCACAAGCTACCGGAGAAGCCCTTTGTGGTGCCCAAGGGCACCATCGTTGAAGTCGAACCCATCAGGCACTGCCTGAAGTTCCTCGCAGGTAGATTGGTTTGGGGAGGATGTATGGACGGCAAGTGTGTCGATGGTGACGAGCTTGCTCATGTCTTATGTGTGTTCAGGGAAGAAGACCAAAGATGCGATTGAACGGCTTGATTATGTTACTAAGCAGTGCCACTACGTCAACATGTTTGACCAGACAGAGCCTGTCAAAATAGTGAGTGTCAAGGCATTTTGCCTGCCTGTTTTCTCCTTCCCTCATTTTCAGCCGTGTTGATTGATCATGATTGATCAATCATGTGCAGGAGTGTCCGGAGGGTCTCCATCCCGATGTGCTCTTGTACAAGTGTGTGGGGGAGAAGCGGGAGCCCCCCAGCCCTCAATGCGGCCACAAGGAAGGCCAGCCAAAGTACGTGAGCCCTTGTCGGCTGCAGGCACCATCGCACATGCCTACATCTGTCCCCACCTCTTTTTTCCTGCGTGTTCGGTCTGTGTGCGGCAGATGGTGGAGGATTGAGTCCAAGTATCCGGTTGAGGATGCGTACAAGTCCAGCTACCACAGCCCGAAAGGAGAGCCCCACAAGAAAGAGGCGGAGCAGCCAAAGGGGCCTTTTGCCTACTGCATCAAGAACGAAGTCTACTTTCCCAATACCTACTGCCCCGAAGGCTTCAAAAAGGTCGACACATGTACAGCCGCGAATAGATGCACAGTGCGTTTGTGTGCCTTGGTGCAGAAGGAGACCGAGGGCAAGATGGAGGTGTGCATCATCATCAACGAGGTGCCGCCAAACCACCAAGAGATCTGCTCCTACATCAGCACCAAACAGCCAGACGACACGAAAAAGAGGAGGGCCCTCGAGGCCCAGCAAGACAACCCAGGGACAGCGGACAATCCAGAAAATGACCCTCGCGAGATGGATCTGGTCAAGATGTGGGAGCAGGGCTTTGGGACCGCACCTGGCCGAAAGCTGCTGGGAGACAAGAAGGAGCACGTCAAGCCGGGCTTCAAGAAGCACTGCGAGATCATGAGTGTGTGCCCGGAGGGATACACTATGGACAAACTGGGCATCACTTGCAAGCAGTACATGGGCACAGCACCGAAAGCCAAGGACAATTGCCATGAGGTAGGCCCAGGGACAGGCAATTCATGTCTCTCGTGGCCTCTGCGAAACCCTTTTCAGGGTTGGTATTTTCGAGCGGAGTTCGACGCTTGTGTGAAGCACAAGATCGACGACGCAGAGATACGGTGCCCTTACAAGTTTAAACTGGACCCCCTCACGGGCGATTGTGTCGACCAGGTCAAGGAAAAGGATGTACTCAAGATTGAATGCCCAAAGGGGTGAGTGGATGAGAGAAGCCGCAGAATATACGGATACCTCTTTCTCTCTGCGTATGTGCGTACGTGCGTATGTGCGTCAGCTATTACAACGCACAGAACAAGGCGTGCGCCAAGGTAACGATTTACAAGCCGGCATTGGAGTGCGAGCACGTGAAGGACGGTGGCTTTGTGCTGGACGAGAAAAGGGAGAAGTGCGTCATGGCGGTTCCTGCAGGCACCCTCATCTACAAGACGCCCGGCAAGAAGAAGGAGAAGAAAGAGAAGGTACAGCCACTAGAGGTGCATGGGTTCCCTGTCGTGCCGTACATACCCGATCCGGGGGGCGGGGGGGCCACTGGTGGCGTGCGTGAATGTGAAGGGGGCGGGGGGGCAGAAGGAGCGGGCAGTTATGGTGCAGATGTCTCGTCTGGTACTGCAGGGGAGAGAAAGACAGAGACAGAGACAGGCGGGGATGAGGCAGGCCCTAGGCAGGAGCAGGGAGGAGACAACGTCACTCTTGTCAGAACACAAGAGGGGGTGGTGCCGATTGGCCCGCTTCGGACAGAGGCAGCCACTACCGCGTCGCCCACTCCTTCTTCTGGTGAGACAGAGGCGCCAGCCAGCAATCCTCCTAGAAGCGAGCAGACAGGCAGGGGCACAACAGGCTCAAGCACAACAAGCGCACCACCAGTGAGCCCAGGCAGCAGTGCGACAGCGGAGGGCATTTTCAGGCCCGCCCCTCCTAAGGGAAAAATAGAGGAGAGAGAGGTAGTCTTTAGGGTGGAGGGAATTGGCAAGCGTTTAGAAAAAATAGAGGAGACCCGGCCAGAACTTAGGGCGGCTCGGCTTGATGTGGGCACGTCAGCGTTTGAGTTTGGAAAGCGACAGAACTTGTATTGGATCCGTCGTCCCGATGTGGCCAAGAGGGTGGCGGGCAGGTTCTTGGCTGCAAGGGAGAGAGAGGACGGGACAGATAGCAGCAGGAGTGAGAGTGATACACAAAGCGAGTAATGTGGGTGGGTCTGTATGGAACAGGGAGGGGGCAATGTTTTTGGTTTTTGTGCTGCTACACCCTTGCCGATACATACCTACATATCATCGCAGCGAGAGACTGTGTCTATCTTTCTTTCTCTCTCTACGGCCTGTGTATTATTCTTTATCCATTGTAGTTGCTGCCTGCTGGTACGTGCGTGATTAAAAAAGCCCCTGCCGCCATGCTGAATGGCTGGTACCTGTCCTGTCTCTGCTGCTGTGTGCTTACAGGACCCCAATCGTGTCCATCAGCGCTACCCGATTCTTCCCCTCCCCGCCAACTACACCTTGAAGTTCTCGTACAAGAAAAAGCAATAGACGTGCCGTGCGGGGACAATCGAGGCCGAGCATTTGGTCGCACATGTATAGGGTTTGCCATTCGTTGAGCCGTTCATCTATTGCATGGCTTTATGATAGATTTTGAGCTTTGTTGCGTCGCCGACTGGGCTGGCTAGCCTGGATGAGCTGGACAGACCATGGTCGGTGCTCTCCGTCTACGTACATACATACATACATACCCGTCGGTCTTTCGCTGTGACCCAAGTCGATCGTCGGGTGCGTTTGCGCGTTGGAAGTCATCAATTCTTGCATACACATTGGTCGAGTCAGTCCTGTGGGGACGCATGGGTGAAGTACGTGCCGTACGTGGGGTGTTGAATTTGCCACGGCGAGAGTCGATCAGTGATTGACATTGATTGATGACTGACTGATTGGCCTCTCGTCTCGTCTCGTCAATCATGGCGTCGTGGTCGGTGTCGTTTGTCGTCGGGGCGACACCGCACAGCAGCACCAACAGCCTGTCAGAATGAGCAAGACCGACGCGTAAGTCATTCACATGAGGATATAATGGATGAATGCATTCTGCTTCGAATTTTCTCTCTCTCTTTCTCTCTCGGTGTGTGTTTGCTGCTGTCCGTCATCAGTTTGCCAGGTGTGACGAAGGGCAATCAGCTCACTCTCGAGATACTCACGACTGAAGCCAATGCACACACAATCATCATCTTTCCGTGCATGTCTCTGTGTAAGTCATGCCATTGGCCATGGATGGCTGCAGATGAGGATGAGGGTAGGGCATAATTCAGACAGACGGACGGACAGACAGACAGGTGGACAGCTCACGAATGCACTTCAGATGTCTGTGTCTCCTTTTGTCTCCTTATGTCTCTGTGTATTTCTGATCTCGCGGGATGATCTCTGTGGGTACACTTTGCCATCCATCCATCCATCCATGTGTCCGTCTGCTATCACTTCAGGTGACCTCTCGCGCAAGCCGTCCCACCTCGGTGACAGACACAGCCACACAGGAAGCCCAAATGGATGGATGGACTTGTGCCTGTGTCAGATTCGAGACACACACACAACACACGCGGATGGATGGATGGCACACGTGTGTGTGTGTGTGTTCATGGTTGATTCTGAGCAGGGTGGGCCCGTCACTCACGTGCAGGCCATGGCGAACGCCGATTCCACACTTGCTCTGTACGGGATGGGGTGCCACTCGGGACATAAGCAGACTCACGATTAAGCAAGAAATGCATATCAACCAAGACGTCTGATGCCATTTGGCTGTTTTCACGTTCGTTCGCGATGCGCGTGAGCACATCTCGGTGAGTCATTCAGTCGATGTGTGTGCGTGAATGCATCTCGTTGGTGTCTGATTCACTTATCGCATGGACGTACAAACCCTCCCTCCCTCCCCTGTCTGTGGCGTGATCCGTGCCCATGCACAGGCAGTCATCCCACGCAGATCACATCAGGTGAGGGCTCGGTGGACGACTCGCTCACTCATCCAAGCACAACAAGAATGACGTACTGACGTATAACGACCGCCCCGCCCACGCCACAGACGCCAAAGATACCGGCACCATCACACACGCACACAAATGCAACAGAACAGCCAGCAAGAGCGAACAGTCGGACAGGCCACACCAGGCAAGGACACGAGAGAGATGCATGAATGTGTGAGTACAGTACAGTATTATGTACGGGCACTCACACGCACACATACAAATCGCTGTGCATGGCGCATACCCCCATCCCCCATCCACCACATGCAGCATGGCGTGCAGGTGCGAGGCACTCGAAGAGCGCTGCACACAGTCAGAACGAGGAGTGAGTGGTAGGCAAGCACCCCAGCCACACAGCAGACCCTTCACCCCTACCCACGCATGTATACATGCCAGCCAGGTACATGCGACACACACAGACACACACACGCACACACACACACACACAGAGAGAGAGAGAGAGAGAGAAACAAAAGACACAATGTCTCAGGTGAGTCT